TGTGCGGGGGAGGGGGGTTGCCGAGCGCGAAGGATGGTGAGTGAATTTGACGAGACAAGCGGAAACGTGGGAGCAAAATTAAGCGTTGCGGATTATGACACGAACACAATGTTAGACACACACACACACACACACACACACACACACACACACACACACACCACCACACACACCACACACACACACACACACACACACACACATGAACACATGAACACACGTGAGCAAATACGGCCCCCTCCCCCCAAAACACTTGAACGGGGGCATCTCACCGAAGCGACGGCCGTCTCCACGAGGATGCGAATGCCCCGCCAGTCCTTGAAGAGCCCGTGCACATCGCGCTCACGCAGAGGAAAGCTGAGGGCGAGGATGCCTGTCAGGTCACGGCTCTGCGTCGCCTCCAGCGGACTCGTGATCAGCACCTCCCGCTGCCGCTGGCCCGGGGCGTCGGCTGTCTGCCACACGTGCAGCGGCGAATCGCCGTCGTTGCTCGACTGCTGCCGTTGTCGCCGCCGCCGAGACGATGTTGTGCTGGAGCGGGTGCGGGTGCGGGTGCGTGAGTTTGTTTGCTCGGCGTCATGCGTTGATGGAGTTTGTTCGGTGGGCGAAACACTGTCTTCGGCCGATGGTGGCGCAGGTGCAAGTGTTGGTGGACTTGAAGATCGTACAGCAGCCTGGCCAGCTTCCGAGATGTGCGCAGTTGAGTGACCGTTATCAACGCTCAGCGCATCAGCTTGCTCTGGCTGCTCCCCTTCTTCATGTTCAACCGCGGCGTTTTCTTGCTCCTCTGCCTCCGTATGCTGATCACCATCGCGGTCGTGACTCTCATCATGCCCGCCAGCATGAGTTTGTTGTTCGTCATCATCACCATCGTGTGCACCATCACCACCGTCAGCTGCGTCGACTTTGTCATCGGCATCTTCATAATCGTCGTCGCCGTCGTCATCATCCAGCTGCAGCTGCGGTGGCGGCATTGCAAAGTGATCGAAGCTGTCACCAGTGAGCAGCATCGATGCGCGTTTCTTATGCACAGCGCCGCCGCCGCCTTCACCGTCACCTTCGCCATCACCACCATGAGCACCATCGCGGGTGCCCCTCCTCATCTGCACCGGCTGTCCGAGCGACTGTCGCCGTCGAGACGTCGATGATGGTGGGGGCGACGTGATGCAACGTGTCCGTGGCGACAGGTGCAGAATCTGCTCCAGCGACGCGCGTGCTGGGCTCGTGCCATAGATTACACTCGAGTTGACAGCATGTGCCTGGCCGTGCGACACCCACGGCGTCACCTTGTCGTCCAGCAGCGACTGGAAGAGGGACGAATTGCGGTCGTCTGTGTGCAGCAGCAGCGGGCGCGCCAGGATGCTCGGCAGCACATTTCGCGGCTCCTCCTCGCCTGCAGGAGAGAGAGGCGGAGGGAGGGGGGGGGGAAGGAGGAGGAGGATGCGTGAGGGAGCGAGCACAAATCGAGCAGAGCAGTGCAGGGAATTGCGTGCGTGCGTGTGTGTGTGTGAGTGTGTGTGTGTGTGTGTGTGTGTGTGTGTGTGTGTGTGTGTGTGTGTGTGTGTGTGTGTGTGTGTGTGTGTGTGTGTGTGTGTGTGTGTGTGTGTGTGTGTGTGTGTGTGTGGCTCTCTTTGTCCCTCTGCCTCTCTCTGCCCCCCTCCTCTTTCTCTGTCTGTGTATCGTATGGCCTGTTTGGTGCCTGCGCTTCCACGGCTCGCACGGGGCTCGCATGTGCTGCTTGAACTTACTGGCAAACCCAATGCGAATTTCCGTGGCTCCAATGTCGAGGACGACGAGCAAGGGGTTGGACGGCGTGCTCCTGCGGGCGTGACGCATTCGTGCGGCCACCGTGAGTTGGAAGGAAAGTAGAGCAGCGGTGGTATTGGGGATGCGGGGGTTGTGGCATGCAAGCGTACACGAGCAACGCAGTGAAGTGTTCATTGACACACATGTGCACACACGCACACATATGTACTCACATATGTACTCACATATCCACACGCATGACACACATGTACTCACATATCCACATCCATAACTTTACACACATACGCTCTCTCGTGCACTCACTGTGGCGGTGCGTCGTATATGAAGCCAAGATGATCCTCATTCCAATCGTCCATCCCCTCCTCTTCATCCTCTTCGCTCTCATCATCCGTGTATACAGGTGTCGTGGACGCATACTCGTCCTCGCCTGGCTCGCGCGCGTGTGTTTGTTTGTGTGTGTGCGTGTGTGTGTGCGTGTTTGTGAGCGAACGCAGCTTTGAACATGTCATAGGCATGCCTCAACACAGAGCACCTGACATGCACGCTCGATGCACACACAGACACACAGACAGCCACACACAGACAGCCACACACACACACACACACACACACACACACACACACACACACACACACACACACACACAAACACATCTGCGCATACCACGTGAAGGCGACGCTGCTTCATGGAAGAGCTCGTGCTGCGCCTGTTCTGCACCTGTGCTGTATTTCTTGGTGTCGTGATCCTGCAGGGATGCAAATAGTGCCTCGTCATCGCACTCATCAACATCAACTGCGACCGGCGCGCCCTCCTTCACTTCCCCTTCTTCCTGGTCTTCTTTCTCTTCTTCCTCTGCTGCTTCTGCTTCTGGCTGCACATGAGGCACTGTGATCTTTTCTTCGCTCTTCACATCTCCGTCCCTCTCGGCCTGCGCCCCCGTCACATCCTGTTCCCTCGTTCCACTCTGCGCTCCGTTGACCCCATCACCGACTTCTTCCGGTCCATCCACGTCTCCCACCACTGCTGGTGCCAGCGCCTGTCCTGCTGCTGTTGTTGTCGACGCTGTCGGTGACGACGGCGGTTCGGGCGCAGCAATCGCGGTGCTGCCCTCCGTCAGCCGTCTGGATGGGATTCGTGTGCAAGACGGGGGGGGGGAGGTGTGGGTGAGTGGTTTGCAATGGAACAAAACGATGTGAGGTGAGGAGGACAATGAACTGCCTCTTGTGTGTGTGTGTGTGTGTGTGTTGGCTCGCCGGCTGGCCACAGTAATGGCACAAGGACGTGGTCACAAGTAAGTGCACAACAACACAACACAACAGACCACAACACAACACAGCTCAATCTCGTCGATCATTGCCATGTGCAACAAACCACGTGCACTCACGTGTCCGGGGTGTCGAGGAGCTGTTCAACATCAACGTCGTCCACGTCGCTGTCGTAGCTGCGGTGGCGCTGGATTCCACCACCATCACCACCACCGCCACCTTCACTTTCAACTTCATCGTGACCAGTTGCATCACCGTGAACATCTGCAGCAGTGTCAAAACCACCGCCATACACGGCAGTGGCTGCTGCTGGTACAGCCGTGTTGGTGTTGTCGCCGTTTGCGTGTTCCCTCTGCAATTCCTCCTCACGCTCATCAAACACGAGTTGCGGCACGCCGGCGTCGCTGCTGTTGCTGCGGGACGGAAGATCAGGCATCCACATCGGCTGTGTAAAGTGTGTGCGTGTGTGTGTGTGTGGACGGATGAGTCAAGAACGTGTGTTTGTGATAACGCAAGGGATGCGGTCAGCTTGGGCATGCGGTCGACGTCACTCACGTTGCTTGATGGAGACTCAAACGCATCTGCCACATCCTCCGGCGTGTGCAATCTGGAAAAGCAAACGCAAAGCGAGCACAACGCAGGCGGTTGCGCGTGAGATGTGTGTGTGTGTGTGTGTGCGATCGCGTGCGCAAGACACGTGGAAGATACGGCATGCACCCAAATGCTTACGTGACGCGCGTGTGAGAGCTTGAGAACGTGAGGCGACGATGTCTGCAGAAGTGACGATCAGTACAAGCAAAAACAGACGTGAGCAAGTCGGAAAGAGGCAAGCAAAGGAAGGAGTTGGGTAGGGCATAATGATCAAGGGGCAAAACTCACCACCAGACGACACAAACACACACACACATGCACTCACAAAC